AAAAAGCAAAACCTCTAATTAAAGAAGGAAATGTCTTCTTTTCAATGGGGGAAAACAGATGGTTTACAGCAGGGAAATACATTCATCTTCAATACAAGCAATAAATGTTAAAGTCTCAAAGTCTAAAATAATTTGATTCAGCTTCCAGCATCTGACCATCCAGTGAAAGGAGACATAATAAAATCGGATGCAGTTAATTAAGAATGAGGAAGAAAAAAACCAGAGCGGCAAAATGGCTGATTTCTCAAAATGAGACTTCAAATGCCGTGTGACAGCGGAGCATCTCCATTACAACACGGATGAGAAATAAAACAGCTTTTACCACAAAGCAAATCAGGCTTTGGTGCTGAAGCAGTGTGAGTGACACTGATCTCTCTGTGGCTTGTGTGTGTACGTGTGTGTGTACGTGTGTGCCTGATCTCCAACCATCCATCTATCCATCCATCCATTTACTCTAAGCTCTTAAGCGGTGCTGCTGTTAAAAAGTCCCCATAAACTCTGAGCCAAGAGCGATAACATGAGCGGCGGGAGGATAACGTTGATGTTAATGTCAGACGCACACAACTGACACCCAGTGTTGCTCCCGTGTTAACAAAACCCATCACGGTCTGTCTGTCCGTCTGAAGGCGCGCACTAATCTGCTCTTAATCACAAGCTCTTATTTACGAAAAAAAAATTACAGTTCATATTAATGCAGCAGAGGGGGAGAGGGTGAGGCGGAGGAGGATGATGGTGATTGTGGTGATGATGATTTTGTGATTAAATGATGCCATCGTTGTGTTGGTGGATTAGGACGGGCATGGAAATAGATTAGTTATGCAGTGGTTTTTCATCATGATTGGCAGGCCTCCAAAAACTCACTCCACTCACACACACACACACACACACACACACACACACACACACACACACACACACACACACACACACACACTCCCTGTTCTCTCTCTCTCTGTCCATTTATCCCACTCTGGAACAGGCCTGTGTTGAGGCCTGTTGTTTGTAGGTTGCTTGCACCACCTGCTGGTAAAGAAAGACATGGCATCGCTTTATTTTTTTGGTCCCTGCCTTTCACACCTTCACTTTTGACTTTTGGACCACTGATAAAAATAAAACCATCACTTTATTTTTTCATGTGCAATTTAATGTTTTTCATGTGCAATATTACTATTTATGTGCAGGTTTACTTTTTACCTGTGCAGTATTATTTTTTTCATGTGTAATATTGCTACATATGTTGAATATTACTATGTTTAGCATCATATTATGCTCAACATCATGTGCAATATACCATAATACCCACTCATTACTGTTAACTGCACTGGTTCTGCATTTACTCCATATACACTTTCTATTTATATTTTTATCTTTTAGCTTCCATAGAGGAAGCAGTAGTGGGAAGTCGGGTTGTCCACTAACCAGAAGGTCGGTGGTTCGATCTTTGGCTCCTCCAGTCTGCATTCTGAAGAGTCCACAGGCAAGAAACTGAACCAAAGTTGCCCCTGAGGTATGAACTGTTGCACATAGTAGGGCTGTGTTCCTAAAGTGGGTCCAGGGACCCCCCAACGGTCGTCAAGGGCTTCAAGGGGGTCCCCTGCAAAATTATTATTTTTAGTATT